TTGTAACCTTTGTGGCCCAGAGAAGACAATAAATGAGTTAGGACAGGCTGGACATTCAAGATTATGGTGCAGTTTGTTGAATACACCGTGTGAAATAATTTGCTTGGTGGTACAGTAAAAGAAATGGCCTTTAACAGCACAAGCCTACTCAGAAGTAAGCCTCACTGACTTCAGTTGAATTTACTACCTGGAAAGTATGTATAGGACGAACCACAGCTTAAAAAAAAATAAATTCCCATTTTTGTAGGTTGCTGTAAAGGTAAAGGGACCCCTGACCATTAGGTCCAGTCCTGGCCGACTCTGGGGTTGCGGCGCTCATCTCGCTTTACTGGCCGAGGGAGCCGGCGTACAGCTTCCGGGTCATGTGGCCAGCATGACTAAGCCACTTCTGGAGAACCAGAGCAGCGCACGGAAACCCTGTTTACCTTCCCGCCGGAGCGGTACCTATTTATCTGCTTGCACTTTGACGTGCTTCTGAACTGCTAAGTGGGCAGGATTGGCTTCCGATTGGCAAGTCCTAGGCTCTGTGGTTTAACCCTCAGGTTGCTGTAGGAAAGGGTATAAATAAATTATGTAGGATGGTTGTCATTGTTAGTCATACATTGAGTTCTGGCTGGACAAAACCCATAAATTAGAAAGTAAGAAGCTTAGCATCACATGCAAGGCACATTTATTGGGTGGGTGGGTATAATTTCCCTCAGTTTCTTAAATTTCACATACAGAGCTCCCTTATTTGCTAGTTTTAAATATGTCTACAGTACATCGCTTTTTAAGCCGGTTTCAAGCTAATCATGGCTTGGATGGCTCTCCAAGTTGGGGCTGGGCAGTATTGTTTTGCAGCGCTTCTAATCCTGTTTGGATAGTTGACTCTAGAAAGTGTTGCTGGTGACCCTTCACTGTGAGGTTCCATGGGGTTTAATCTTGCATTCCATGCTGTTTGAAATGACATGCAATGAAAGCATTGCGATCATCCACTGAGGCACAAACCTAATACAGTCGTACCTTAGTTTTTGAACAGAATGTGTTCCGGAAGTCTGTTCAACTTCCGAAATGTTCGGAAACCAAAGCGCAGCTTCCGATTGGCTTCCGATTGCGCAGGCACGCCGGAAACAATAGCAGAAGCCCAGTGCCGGATATATGTATAAGCTAAACAAGCTACTGTATAGCTTAGGGCCCTGCTCTCTTGGCCCCCCCCCCCAATATACTTCTTCTTAATTGTATTTCACTATTAATATACTACTTCTTAATTGTATTTCAGTTCAACAATTACTTTGATAAAATACATATTTTGTTAGGTGCAAATATACCTATTAGGTCCATAAATTACCAGATAGCATATATTCAACACAAAAAACAGTGACAATTTGTTGTTGACAAAGGACAGCTGGACATATAAAGGGCCCCATTACCTTCAGTAGCTTAGGGCCTCATCAAACCTAAATCCGGCCCTGCAGAAGCAGCATTAGACATTTGGCTTCTAAAAAAAGTTCAAAAACCGGGACACTCACTTCTGGGTTTCGATTGTTTGGGAGCCGAAACGTACGAGTACCAAGGTGTTTGACAAGCAAGGTACGACTGTATGCTAGTCTACAAACTGTACAAGTTAGCCTACAACTTTCATATTAGAGTTTGCAGTAAGGATCATATCCAGGGTGCTTGCCAGAACCTGATAGCTCGTGCAAGATCACCAACAACGAAACAAACAGAAAAATACCTGACTTTATAAGCATAAAATAACTACACTTACCTGCTGCTATGAATAATTTTGCAAATGAACGTTACAAAACTGTTTCAAAATGAACATTACAAAACTGGGTGATACGGTTTTTATTTATTTGAGCTGAAGGCTATCTGGTCTCCTCTTGAAACCACAACACTGACCTTTTTAAACCAAAAGGTGCCTGTAGGATTTGAGGCATTCAGGTGTGCTATGTACCGTATTTTTCGCTCTATAGGATGCACCGGACCATAGGAGGGGGAGAACGGGGGCGGAATTCTCCCCCTCTCTGCTCAGCGCCCCTTCAGCGAAGCGGCAGGCGAAACGGATCCCCTTCCATTTCTCCTCCCCCTTCGCTGAAGGGGTGCTGCGCAGAGAGGGAAAACTGTGCAGCGCCTCTCCAGCGAAGCGAAGCCTGGAGAGCAAGAGGGATTGGTGTACACCGACCCCTCTCACTCTCCAGGCTTCAGGCGGGAACTCCTGCTGCGCTCCGAAGGCTTGCGGATAGCTGCCTGAAGCCCCCAGAGCGCAGCGGGAGTTCCCTGCGCTCCGGAGGCTTCAGACGGCCTCAGTGAAAGCAACGTGAAGCCTCTGGAGCGCGGGGGGGGGGGAGCTCTCCCTCTGCTCTTCGGAAGCTTCGCGTTGCTATCGCTGAAGCCAAGGAGCCGGCATTCGCTCCATAAGACGCACACACGTTTCCCCTTAATTTTTGAAGGGGGAAAAGTGCGCCTTATAGAGCGAAAAATACGGTAATGCAGGTTTGAGATTCGTGATGTGAACTTCACGCTTTGCCAGAATAGCAAATCTGTAGGTTGCAAAACAAACACACCTTTCAGCATGTGTGCGTGTGTTTCCAAAGCGCTTGCCTTCTTTTTCGACGGTTCTGTGGCTGACCCAGCCATCCTGTGGCACCCAGGAGTGAGGATCCCCTGCAGCTTCTGGGATTGCAGGCGGTTGGGGAGGGGGAAGCGCAGAGCAAGGCATCTGATAACATTCTCAAAGCCAATCCATGGGAACAGCGGGGGTTCTTTGGGAGCCATGTTAACCAGTCTATAATAGGCCCCAGGTGCCCCATTTCCCCAAGGATGGTAGATGCAGAAACAGGGAACAGAAGGAAATTAGGACTCTGAAGTCTAGGGTGTCGGATAGGCTTGCTTCCTGACCGAAGCAGATTTTGTTTTAAGCCCCTTATTTCCTAAAACCTCAGATTCTTTTTCTTTGATATATGAACCCAGTTTCCTCCCTCTCCACTTCTCCATCCTGATCTGTTACTATCTAAATGGAAACTTTGATTTATGTCACCAGGTTCATGGATAGTAAAATAACAAGAAATTACGGACTTTCCTGTGTTGTTTACGGTTTCCTTTTTTTTTTTTTAAAAAAAAGAGCTTTTCTTAGAGAAGAGAGAATTTGAGATTCTTACATCTTTTTTCCAGGAAGAAGGAAGGCAGAATAAAAAAAAGCTTAGATGTTGTCGAGAGCAGGAACATTCCCTACCTCAGTTGAAACGGGCGATATGTTGAATTCGGCTCCCCTGAGTGAAACCTGTACATCTAATTTATCTTTGTTTTTGAACTGTGAATTCCCCTCTTCAGACAAAAGCAGAGAATTGGTTGTCAGCCTTATGATGAATACTATCAGGGATAGACAGTAAAGGTTATTTCTCTTAATAAACCTTATCTGAGTATGTTGCTTTATAACTGTAGGTTATGCTCTCGACCGCAAAGATCAAGACTATTGTTAAAAGCTATATATAGGTGCTGGCTTAGGGTTGCCAGCAGCTGCCCCTTCTCTTAGCTCTGCTGCTATAGCTTGTAACATCATTATGGTATATAGGAATTTAAGCAGGGGAGGGTTTTCCAGGTGCTTTTCATTCTTAATTTCTGTATGTCAGGTGCTGTTCATAGCACAGCAACAAGGGTGGCCAGCAAACCTAGCTAGGATTTGGACATGCATATAAGCTGTTCGCTCTGATCTGAAACACCCACTGCCAGCCTAATCCGAAAGCATTTGAGGGCTGACAATGGCAGAACTTAAATTATGATAGGGAAAGGTGGGGTGAAATCCCTAAATTTCACTTCCTGAGATTATCCCCTAGGTATATCCATATTGTGTTCCTCTTAGCTCTTTCTAAAAGCTAGCCATATTCTAAGGGCCACTATCAGGGTGGATTTGATTTCACAATTTAAATCGCTAGTCATTAAGACTTTAATTAATTAATTAATAGCTTGTAACATTAATTTTACAGAAAGACTTGTCTTTGCTGGTATAATCTTAATGTTTACAACCAGATGAAGGTTTCATTTTTGGAATAATAAATTTTCAGAGTAGTTTTTACAGTTCTATAAAAATTACTGATTTGGTTATGCTTTTAGAAATACATAGACAGATAGTTATGAAATTATTGTGAGGTTCAATAAGCCAGCTGTTTATATTTGGATAACTTTTCTGCTGTACTTTATTGGAAGGAGAAGAATAACCATTTACTTAATAACAGTTTAAACAATTTATTAAATTAAACAATAACATTATAGCATATGTATCCATGTTTGTTAACTGATGTGGTTAAATGGTGTTTTTTGTAGACTGAGTTTTAGCACATATGAAAAACTTAAAACAAATCCTTATTTCCTGAAGAATAGCCTTTGGACTATAATGTAACTTAAATAGAAAACTAGAAAGATTTTTCCTCCAAAAGCATTTTATTTTGAAAATCCAATTTAAATTTTTTAAAAATCTGATTTAAATTTTTAAAAATCTGATTTTTAAAATATTTTTTATTTCATTGATTTTTATCCCCCCTGGCCACATATGGTGGATGTCACAAAAGGTAGCAGGATGAGACACCCCCCCCCCCGGTCCTCCCTTCTAATTTGAGCACTGGGCGGTGGTGATAGAAAGCTATTCTCTCATAGGCAAAAATCTCTATGATTTGCATTGGGCAGACAAAATACAGGTTCATTCTGATCCTGAGCTTTGGTTCAAATTAAGACACGGTTTTGCTAAAACCCCACTCTGCTGTGCATGACTTAGACAGGCATAGGCAAACTCGGCCCTCCAGATGTTTTGAGACTACAGTTTCCATCATCCCTGACCACTGGTCCTGTTAGCTAGGGATGATGGGAGTTGTAGTCCCAAAACATCTGAAGGGCCGAGTTTGCCTATGCCTGACTTGGAATATCTGTTTACAAGCGAAGGCTGCTGCAATTTTTTTAACAGGACTGTGGCGTTAAACCCTCCAGAACCTAAAGGCTTATAAGTTCATGTCCCTTGAACTTCACAGGATGCTGTGACAATATGCACATTGGGAATAGGAACAGCTTTCGGAGAGTCAATTTTGGATAACACCCCTCGCCATGCCACTATTGTTACAAGGGAGAACAGCGAGCTGCTGCGGATTGAACAGAAGGATTTCAAGGCACTTTGGGAGGTAAGCTCAAAAGACTACTCGATGAATTATAACATAGGGGAGAAGGCTTAAGGAGCCTAGCTGTGTTATTAGATGTATGTGGAATGCACAGGGACCCTTGACTAATACAGTGGTACCTTGGCTTAAGAACAGCTTAGTTTATGAACAGCTTGGATTAAGAACGCTGCAAACCCAGAAGTAGTTGTTTTGGTTTGTGAACTTTGCCTTGGAATAAGAACATGTTTCGCTTCCTGTTGAGTGTGTTCCATTTGTAAATTGAGTCCCCCGCTGTTATGGGAAAGCACGCCTTGGTTTAAGGACCCTTTGGTTTTAAGAACAGACTTCAGGAACAGATTTAAGTTCGTAAACCAAGGTACCACTGTCAAAATTTGTTGTTAGGCCGGCTCTGAAAGTGTGTTTGTTACATAAAACAAGAATATATAACATACATACAAGTAATTGCTGAAAGAAGGTGACAAATTTGTACCAATATTATGAAACTTAACAAGTCATAACATACTAGTTCGTAATGTGGAAAAATATATATATGGTTGCCCTTTCTTAAAAAAACAACCACCAATGGTCATTTCTTCATATAGTTGTCTGTTTGTGTACTGTTGTAACATCACATAAAATAAATCGGTTCAGTCATTAAAGCAATCTCCCATTTTCTCTCGAGCCCTAAAAAATTACTGAATTTTTGTAGTTTTATCAGCGCCTGCTCCGCTCAGGCCTCAACTGCACTCACCTCTAAGCCAAAATATGGCTTAGCAAGAGTGAACAGCCAGGGCAGAAATCACAGCCTCTCTGCTCGTTCCTTGGTCCTGACTTGCTACCCAGAGCTAAGCCATGGTTTGGCTTAGCATTACATCCAAACCATGGCTTGCGGTTTGGCTCCCCTCCCCCCGCCAACAAGCCTTGAACCGTAAGCCAGAATAAACTTTGATTACAGCTTGTGGTTTACTGGGAGAGAAACAAACCATGGGTCTGGGTTTCCAATATAACAATAAACTGAACAACGGCTTAGCTCTGGGTAGCACGGGGGTAGCAGGACCAGGAGAGGAACAAAGCAGCCATGGCTTTTGCTCTGGGTACCTGTATGCTTGCTCATCCTTGCTTAACCATGGGTTGGCTTTTAGTGTTGCGTGCAAACTGGACCATATTCTTGCTGCCATCCAAGAATCAAATATTTACCATATTTTTTGCTCTATAAGACTCACTTTTTCCCTCCTAAAAAGTAAGGGGAAATGTGTGTGCGTCTTATGGAGCGAATGCAGGCTGCGCAGCTATCCCAGAAGCCAGAACAGCAAGAGGGATTGCTGCTTTTACTGTGCAGCGATCCCTCTTGCTGTTCTGGCTTCAAAGATTCAGAATTTTTTTTTTTCTTGTTTTCCTCCTCCAAAACTAGGTGCGTCTTATGGTCTGGTGCGTCTTATAGAGCAAAAAATATGGTATTTTAAAACCACTGATTCTAGTTTTCCTTTAGTTTATGATAACGAGGAGGAAGATTTTGAATTTGTTTGTTGCTTTATACAATAAGCAAGATTTAAAATGCAAAAATGCCATTAATAGAGAGCAGTGGAAGCATATGTAACGTTAGGTAACCAAATAAGATGAAATTATGTGGTTTTAAGAAATTTTGTAGAGGTGTAGCTATTTTATCTCCCCACTCACGCACCCTAGTTTGATAACTGGTGTTTCCTATGAACATTCCATGACATAGTTTTTCATTTTAATTAGCTAGCTTTCCATACTTAATTTGCTGAAATGAAAACCGGTAGTGTTAAAACGGCCTTTTATCTGCAACATGACTTTTTATTTGGCAAACTTTGCTTTTCTTCTGTTGCGCTGCCCCAGAAGTATGGATGCCGCTAACTATTTCTCATGTTGTGGGGAGAATCCTGATGTCAGACCTTTGTTGAAGTTTAGAATTGGCAGTAAGATGAAATTAATGAAATTGAGAGTACATGGGTGAGAAACCGTTGAAGCTCTTGCTGCTTTTAATTAGTCACGTCTTCATGCTCAATAAGCATCATTCATGTGTTGACGTACTAATCTGGCAGGCATTTCAGAGAAAACACTTTCAAGGTTTTAAAATGTGACCTAAAAAGTACTGGGAAAGGCATATTTGTTTCTCACTAAGAGCTGCATAGCCTGTAGGCCTTACATCACTGAGAAGGGACTCTTGCTTTACATGGGATTCCATAGCAGCGATAACTGTCTACTTTTTACCTGTCAGGCTATACAATACAGAACCAAAAATCTATGATCAATCCATTGTTGCTCAGTTTTGGGAAAGGTTACTTAATGTGCTTGAGGCCATGTACCCGATAGCATCTTAGCCCTAGGTGCAAGAAATCAGAGTTTGACACTAATTCCCTGGCCAACATTGGATGTCAATTTGTGGAAAGAGACTTGGCCTTTTGGCTCTAGGCATGTTTGGACAGCACCTGATTCTTGCGTCTTGTTCTTCAAAGGTCACCCTGCAGTATGACTATGTGACAGCATCAGAACAAACACTCTCTACTGGTTTCTTTGCATTTTATTTAGCTCAAATTATACTTTCGTCTTTATAAATGCCGTATTGTCATGCTCTAGGCAGAAATTGCAAATATTGCAGGTGGTATTCAACTAAATATGTGCACTAGGTCAACGGGATTTCTTTCCCCCACTCCTGCATGTATTCTGCACCACCTCCAAAGCTGCTCCAAAGGCTTGAAGAACCCCCAGAACAAATTTAGAGGGCGCTGGGAGGAGGTTGAGAAGGGGAGAGAATGTTCCATTGCACAAGGAGAACTGGCAGAACATTCACCGTAATGCTATGTTGAATACAACCCTCAATGTCTGCTTGAGGAACTTAACCAATTGTAGAGGATAGTGGTTCAGTTCAGAACTATGAGAACTGGAATAAACATTGAGCTTCCATGCTCTTGGTCACTTCTGGCTTATTTATTTAATTCATTATTTGTACAGTGGTACCTTGGGTTACATATGCTTCAGGTTACATACGCTTCAGGTTACAGACTCAGCTAACCCAGAAATAGTACCTCAGGTTAAGAACTTTGCTTCAGGATGAGAACAGAAATCGTGCTCCGGCGGTGCGACGGCAGCAGGAGGCCCCATTAGCTAAAGTGGTGCTTCAGGTTAAGAACAGTTTCAGGTTAAGAATGGACCTCCGGAACGAATTAAGTACCTAACCCGAGGTACCACTGTATTTGGCTTTTGAAAGGAGTACCCAAAGTGGCTCAAGTCCCTGATAAAATATGACAGGAGCAGACCTGGTGGTGTCTTCATCTACGCCCCCCTTCCCCTCCTGAGTCTTTGCATAGGGCAGTTGTCCTTTTTGGCAAACCATAGTTTGCCATTGCATTTGAAATAACAAACCATAGTTTCATCTTAATGGTTTCCCTGCTATTAATTTTCAACATTATATCAAAACAACCAATATTATCCTTCTGGCAGCAATTATTAGCAAAAATAGCTGTCTCCTCCTGCATTGTCTTCTTCTGTTTGAATAACACCCAGCCGATGAACATCTGCTTAGCCATGGATCATGTTCTTCCTCAGAGACATCTAGTTTTACAAAGGCAGCTGTTGAAGCAGCTTGTTAAAAAGCGAAACATTTGGTTTTAAGATGCCCGGTTCCTTATCTGCAAACCAGGAAGCTCTAAAACTGGTGAGCTCATGCATCCTTAGGCTTTTAATTTTTAAATTGCACCAAGTTTAGAACGACAGGCCGCTCTCTGCAGGCTTTGAAATTGGCTTCAAAAGAATATGAATCCAAACACAGTATTATCATTATTATTATTATCATTTAGATTTTGATTCCATCCTCCAGTCCAGAGGTTCATGATAGACTATAAAATGTATAACCAGTATAAAAGCCATGGAAAAAAATATCAAAAAACCCAAAGTACTAAAACAAAAAAGAACCAGAAATTACAAGCAGTCTAGCAACCAGTCTAAAAGCTCTCAACCACAATATACATAAAAGAGGAGCTTTTGACCGCTTGCTTTTGGGAAGAAAGGATGGCAGAAAATGAGTTTATTTGTACACATTGCAGGATGTTGCAGCCGCTCTGCTCACTCTGTGCCCATGCATTTTCCTTCAGTTCAATCACATAAATTCAGACAGGAAGGGAGTGAATCCACTAAGAGATTTACTTATTTTTAGTGCTTACTTTCCGTAGTGTCCCTATCGCCATGCATGGCTTGGAACTTCCCCGAAGTGACAGCAGAAAAAAACAAACACGTTTTCTCTGACGTGGAATAAAAAAATAATAGTTTGGCACAATTGGAATCCGTGGATAAGAGTCTGTGTACAAGGCGTTACCAGAGTGTTTTCCAGGGAGTGACAGAGCAAGTTTTCTTCCTTGGTTATTTGGAAAGAGATCACGACAGGACTTCGACGGTTATCTGGCTCTTCCTTTTGGCTAGGTATAGTAGCAATGAACTGAGAGATTTGATAAGTGCTGCCATATCTCATTTTCTTTTGATTGTTATGTGTGTGTCTCTTGCTAAGCTGTAAATCTGAAAATTAAATTTCCTGAGCCAGCCTAAAAGCAACAACAACCCATAGCAGAAATGTGTGGCTTTAAAAAAAATAAATACAAATTGCATGGTGCTGGAACGGTTACATAACATCAGATTCGAATGCTTTTTGAAAGGATCAGGAAGATTTCTTAAAACCAAAATACGATTAAAGGCCTTGACTCAAATATACCACTCATCTCTTCGAAGTCTAGATCCTTACGTACATAGCTTTTAAAGAGAATGCCAGTATTATACCTACATTTTTTAATATACACTAATGAGAATTCTGTTTGCAGCTCAGGAAGCAGATTAGACAGTACAGTTTAATAAGCTTTGTGATTGGAAGGATGAAGTCTACTCCACATTTCAAAAAATCCTGATATATTATGGTGGTGTCTAATGGCTACGGTGTTGCAGTGGTGCTGATGATGAAATGGACTTTTTGCTTATATTTGCATATATTTAAATTTGGATTTTTATAGTATTGT